TCGGCCCGATCCCTGTAGGCCAGGCTAAGGGACCCCACCGGTGGGCATCCAGTAATAAATATCATTCATTACTCAGTAGATTTAAATCAATTAAGTGAATATACAAAACCATTTACAAAATAAAAGATACTGTTTAAATTCATATAGAACAAATCTTACCTGTGCAAAAAACTTTCTTTTGCTATTTGAATTTGTAGTGTTCCACCTTTCCATTTTGTGTTATTTAAAACAGACATACCTATAGAGTAAAGAGTTATTATTACATCACAATGCAAAAATACATTTCAGAATGTGCCTCTTCTAATTATTTAATACCAAGAAAAGTAGACTTGTTAATCATGAAGAGATACAGAGAAAACAGAACAAGGAATTTTATTTTATTTTTATCTTTTTTTTTTTTTTTGAAGCACACTGGCCGGGCCCCAACCCACTTTTAATTCTTTATTAAGACAAGTTGTTTCTGAAATTTGGGGTCTGATTCCTGGTAATTCTTTTAAAAATCACGCAAATAAAAGTTAATGCCTTAAACAAAAATAAATTCACAAGAGCATATTTTAAGGCTGACACTTCCAAGGGTACGATCTATCTACCTTTATACAACTATGAGCAATCAACCTCAGCTAATAAATTTTTCGAAATGGTAACAGAAAACAGACCACAAAATTGGTCTTTACCATCCAATGCCACGAAGCTTTATAGTTTCCAGGTTCCTGGAAGTTTTTTTTTTTTTTTTTTTTTTTTAACAGAGAAGAGGGGAGAGGGCTAGAGTTAGAAACATCAATCAGCTGCCTTGTGCATACTTTCTACTGGGTATGTGCCTGCAATCAAGGTAAATGTCCTTGACTGGAATAGAATCTGGGACCCTTGAGTCCGCAGGCCAATGCTTATCCACTGAGCCTAACCGTTGGTTAGGGCTCCCCAATGCTTTCTTAAGAGCCACAGTCTCCCTACAAAGCCCTTGATGGGAAGTCACACTGGGCTTCCAAGCTCGGTCACCGCTCAGCTCCCATGTGTGCAGCCCTGGTGCGGGGCTCCACCAGGCTGTGATCCTGAGCTACAAACACACCTGAAGATCAGGTCCGCCCTGAGCTGCCTGGAGAGCTTTCAGAGAACAAGCAGTGAAAGGGATTGGATCCTGGTGTCACCTAGACCACTTGCTAGTACAGCCCTTACATTCCCTACCTCCCAGTGTGACTGGAAGATACGAATGAGGCAAATGTGTAAACTATAAAGCAACACTTGTTAGCTATTTGTTTATAAAGTAATGCCAGAACTCTCTGGTGAATGAGTGACATTTCTTTACTTCTGACACTAAAACTATAAAATGTCAATGCAATTTTCCCAAGGTGAACCACAGGACACTGGAGTTATGTAACTCCCCACTTTCATTTTTCACCTCATGCTAGTTACCTCTGTGTAACTTCCAAACAAATTAGCTGCAAGTGTCTGAACTATGCTATGCCCTAATAGTTGCTTTTACTAAATATTTGCTATCAGATTCCTTAATAATAACCACTAACAGAAGGAAGACTATATTGGTAGATACTATTTTAAATACTAAGATTCTATTCAATTTAATCTTTGCAGTAAATCACAAGGCAAACAATATCTTTACTATACATTGGATAAGCAAACGGGAGCTTAGAAGTTTAAATAACATGCCACAGGTTACATGTCAAAGCTGCTGTGTTCTTAACCATGACTCGTCAAGGGTCATAGAACAGTAACCGATTAACAACAAGAACCTGACTATTCAGCTTCTAAATAACGAGAATTCATCACAGCATCAGTGGCAACATGGATTATCTTCCCTTTCTTTTTCAATGAAGAACAGTTTTACTAAATTTCTCTCTCTTTCCATATGTTTTTTTAAATTAACTTTTCAAAGCGAGAGAGGGAGAGGTATAAAGAAATAAAAAAATCAATGAGAAACATAATTTATTGCCTGTCTCCTGTATGCCCCCCACAACCCGGGCATGTCTCTGATCAGGAAATGAACCTGTGACCTCCTGGTTGATAGTCAACCACTGAGCCGCACTAGCTGGTTGTGTATGCGTGTGTGTTTGTTTGTTTGTTTTAATATACACTAAACTTCTTGATAGAGATTTTATAATTTCAAGAATACAGTCTTATAAGGGCATACACTAAGCCAGCCTCTCCTAACAGCATTTCAATACAAGAAAATAACCTCCTAAGAAATGAACTCACAAGGAAAAGGGAGAGGGATATGGCATAGTGGGATATGTGTAACAGGCAATTTCTATGAAAGCTTTGTTTCTTGTCCAAAATACTTTAGAATACCATTGCTGAGCAATACCAGTAGCAATGTGTTACCACAGGTCTGCTGATGCCAAATGGTATGAAACTAAACCTGCTGATTTACAGGATGCTGGAATTCTCTTGATCATAGCTGTCCCTCTGGATGACTTAAAAATTGGCTGTTAAGATTTAGAGCGAAGTTATTCCAAGTTACACAGACATAAACTGGCAAGTCATATGGAATATCTTACATTTTCTCAGGTCTGATTCTGCTACTCTGATGTTGATATATGCAAAGACTTTCTGTGGGTTTCCTAAAAAACAGAAAAATATATTTATTTAAACTCTTATCCAGGAAACAATATAAGTGATTACATTTATAAATTTTAAAAAATGAACTCTTGGGCTGGTCCGAGTGCAGTGGTATCTACAATTAATTGATCACAGCCAGTTACAGATTTCTTTGTTCCTTCTCCACCCCCACTGCTTCACTTGACTAGCCTAAAAAAAAAAAAAAAAAAAAAAAAAAAATGAACTCTTGGAAACAAGCTTTTTCAAAGAAAAAAACTTGTTTATTTTTCACTGGACTCAAAGACTGAAATTTTGTAAGTATGATTATTAAAATATTAAAAAAAAACAACCCCAAAAATGTCAAATGGTCAGTTGATTGTGTTATGATGTTATGTTGTTATATGACTTTATGTTAGTGACATTCTTCTTAATAGGACATTTAATGAGTATTAGAATTTTAGCTCTAAAAACTGAAAGTTACAGATTTCAGAAATCAGGTGTTTTAGAATGTAGAATATTTTTGAACTCAGGAATGTAATTCTGGGCAAGTTCCACATTATGAATTACACCTCCAGGCATGGCGTGGAGCACACAATGATATACAGGTGCTGACATTAACCTTTGCGGTCCCTTTATTTTGTGTTAACTTGAGTTAGACCTGCCTTTACCCACGAAATACCATAAACTTACCTTGGTCATCTTTCCGAGTGATGATCTCCACATCAGAAACTTCTCCAAATCTGCTGAACTGGTTTTGCAGGTCCACCTCAGAAATGCTCTGACCGAGACCACCCACAAAAAGGCGTTTTGTTTCTCGGTTGGCTTTCATAAAGGCTGGGGTACATTCAGTGTGTTCTGGTAGGGAAAATAATTTGAGTTCTTTCCATTAGTTCTTCTCAAAACAACAAAAACAACCCAAACTCTTCTTGAACCTTTGATGCCAAGTTGGTTGCCTAAACTTTCACTATTATATTGTTCCTAAATTTTATCCCTGGAGATTCTGGTCAAACCCTACACCCACTTTCTCCATGAACCCATTTTGGACCAGGACCTCTGCACAGACACAGGCACGGAGAAATGCTTTCCCAAAATGAGCACCAAAGTGTGCTCCACCCCTCAGTTACTTATCCACCTAGTCAGGCATTTTGCTTTCAATCATTTATACGTTCCTTTATTCACTTGGACGAAAGCTGACAGAAATTAGGTGTGGCGGGTCAACATGCTAAAGGATAGAAGAGACAGCTACTGTCACAGGAGATGCCTGTTCAGGCGAAGAGAGCAACGATACCATAGCTAATACAGGCTTGCTCTGTGTTTTTTGTTTTGTTTTTTTAAATTTAAGTATGTGTCAGCTTTGTATGGCATAGTTTACATTCATCTCGTTTTTCAGATGAGCAGGAGAGATTAAATCACTTTCCCAATGTCATTCAGAGAATTAATGACGCCAGAATTATAAACCAGGTCTAATTCCAGAACCTGTAATGCATAATTATACTAGGAAGGTTGCAGTGTTTGAAGGACTCGGGAAAACTCTCCGAGGTACTAGGCTGAGGCCCCTGTGGGACCTCTAACCCGGTAGCACCCGGGGCGCGGCTACACTCGCCTCTCCCAGGGAGCTGACACGCCCTCCCACGGGCCCCCAAGCGGCCCAGAACCAACCCAGGGCTGGTGCTCCAGGCGGGAGGCACGACCTCCGTCTTCCCGGGGGACTCCCTGCCCCCCCTGCGCACCCAGGCTTTTTGCCCCGAAGACCCAAGACCCAAGAGAAGGGACAGTGGAAGCAAAACGGCCGGGTCTCTTCCACGGCCAGACCCACTCCTACCGCGTGGTGCCCGCCGCCGGCCCGCGGAGTCCCGGGCTCCCAGTCACGTGTTCCACGAAGCGGCGCCGCTATTCCTTCCTCCCCGCCCGCCCGCCCGCCCGCCTCCCAGGGTTCCGACCCCCGCTCCGCTCCCGCCGCCGCCGCCCGCCCTCGCCGCCGCCGCCCGCCCTCGCCGTCCTCTGAGCTCTGCAGTCGTAGTCACACGCTTCTCACCTCGGAGCGGCCGCCTCTGTTTACCGCGCCTGGAGCAGCTGCGGGCGGAAGTGAGGGCGGAAGGGAAATAACGAGACGCTCCCTTGCACACCGTCCGGAAGCCACTCCTCCGTGACGCGCCACCTGGTTGCTCCCAACTCCGCCGGCGCGGGTGGGGGGCAGCTCGGTCCCGGGGCTTCGGGTTGGAGCGAACCTACCCTCTCCAAGCCTGGGCACCGCCGGGAGCAGCGGCTGCCGCGAGCGCGGGCGCCCGAGCGCCCGAGGCCGCGTGCCAGCGCGGGCGTCCCCCGGCGCCGCGCGCGCGCTCTCGCCACCCCCCTGCGGGCGCCGCGGTGGTCCGCGCCCGGAGCGCGCGAGGCTTGAATCGCCGGGCGAGGCGCGGGGCCGGCCGGCTGCCTCCCGGGAGCGCCGCGCCATGGACGCGGAGCAGGCCGAGGCCCGCGCGTTGGAAGCCGAGGTCCGGGCCCTGAAACGGGCGTTGGAGGAGCTGCCGGCGCCCGCAGCGGCCGCGGCCCGAGTCCGGTACGTGGCCCTCCTCAGGCCCCGTGGGCGGGCGGAGCGTGTCCTCTCGGGGTGCGCACCTCCCGCCGCCGGGCCCAGGCACCGAACGTGGGGGGACGCCGAGTGCCGCCGGGCCGCTCCGGGAGCCGGGGCGGCGGAGGGGAGGGCGGGAGGCCGCCTGGTCCGCAGCCCCGCGGGGGCGGGGACGGGGGCGGGGGCGCTGTGTGCGGCGGAGGGGGCGCTTCCCGGCGCGGCCTGGAGGACAGACCGAGTGCCAGCCCTTCCTTCCCGCGTCATCCCTCTGGGTCCCTGACCCTGGGCAGAAGCAGGCGCTGTCTGGAACCCGGCCTTGAAGTTCGGGAGCTGAGTGCTGCCCGAGGTCTCAGAGGAAGCCTGGCGCCAGGCGGGATGGCGGCCCCACAGGCGCTGCTGAGGGCGCGGGGAGAGCGCTGTGCGCTGTGAACAGTGTGAACCCATCGTCTCGAACGGCACGCTGCTCGGAAGCAGAAACTACCTTCATGTTTTCAGTCGAGACTGTTTGACAAGGTGCAGAGAACGAGGTTCTCCCGAGCTGACTGGACAAGAACACAGGGAGGAGCTGGCAGCTGACGTTTGCATGCACATTGGGATCCTGAAGGCAGAGGAAGCGGTGGATGGTGGGAGGGAGAGGGAAGCAGGCCTGGGGAACAAGTGCGCCCACACACACACACACACACACACACACGCAGGCCTGGGGAACAAGTGCGCCACACACGCACACACGCACACACACGCACGCACGCACGCGCTGCAGGCACTACAGGTGTCCACAAGTGGGAAGTAATGGTATTACTTGGAGTTGGATAGAAATACAGATGTTGGCCTCCCCGACCTGTGTCAGAATCTGCTCTTTATAACAAGACCCTGCACTATTCTATGCACACTTGAAAGTTTGAGAAGTGCCAGGTCATTCTGTGGAGGAAAATAATTTACTGTCCACAGGATGTTACTGTTGACCAGGATAGCATGCGGACTAGACCTCCTCAGGGGTCAAGTTGGGGAAGTCAGAAGAGTCCATGTGAACTTTGATTTAATGTGAACTTTCTTTTCACTTTCGTGGAGAAGGAAGATTGGTATCTGAAGATTTGGGATCAAAGTTTTTGGTGTATGTGCTTTTTATTTTCATTCCAGTTATAAAGTAAAGAGAAGCCAATTTTTTTATATTCCAAAAGTTAATATTCATATTAAAAACTATGGAATCCAGCATGAAAAGTTGTATGGTAGTCTACCTGCTTCATGAATATAAAGCAATAGGTTTGCCAGATTCTGATGTTATAGCATTAGCAACATTCCAAACCACTGAACAGAAGCTGCAGGGGCCTGGAGGGCTGACCTGGGAGAGGAGAGGGTTAGATGCCATTGCTATGGCGCAGAGAGGAAGAGGGAGCAATGAGAACAGTGATGAGAGGCCAGCCAGGTGCTTTCTCACACTTTCTGCAGTGTAAGGCTTCCCACCACTATAAAAACCTCTGATATTCACTAAATTTTGAGCTGTGGGTACAGGCTCTTGCCCATGCTATAAATTTGTAAGGTTTCTCTTCAGAATGAAGACTCATTACAGTAAGACAAGAATGGCTTTTAAAGGCTTTTCTACATTTTTCACATTCATAAGGCTTCTTCCCAGTCAGAATTCTGTGATGTTCAGTAAGTTCTCATTGGGCCAAGGACTTATGACAATCATATCTGTAATATTTCTCTCAAGTATGAACTCTCTGCTGTACAATTCGGCAGGAACACTGATTAAAGGCTATGTTACTTTTTCTACATTTGTAAGGCTCCTCTCCAGTGACCTCTCTGATGTGTGCAGTAAGGTTGAGGAGTGGCCAACTCATGTAGCTTCCCTTCAGAGTTCTGATGATCAGTCAAGTTTGAGTCTTGCAAAAGGCTTTGCCACATTCTCTACATTCATGAGGATTCTCTCTAGTATGAGTTATCTGATTAAAAGTAAGGCCTGTGGAATGCAGGAAGGCTTTGCCACATTCTCTTATTTATAGGGCTTCTCTCAGTCTGAATTCTCTGCTAATGAGTTAGGGTTGATAATGCACCAAAGTGTGAGTGTGTTATGTGTTATTTTAGTGTGACATATAATTTTTACCATCTTAATCATTTTTAAGTGTACAGGTCAGTGATACATACATTCATAATGTGCAATTGTCACCCCGATCCATCTCTGTAATTTTTCATCTTGTAAAACTGAAACACTACACCCATCTTTATATATAAAAAGCCAGCCACCAGAAAACTGTAACATCCCTAACTGGTTTGGCTCAGTGGATAGAGTGTTGGCCTTCAGACTAAAAAGTCTCACGTTCGATTCCGGTCAAGGGCACGTACCTCGCTTGTGGGCACATTCCCCAGTAGGAGTTGTGCAGGAGGCAGCTAATGTTTCTCATCAATGTTTTTTGTTTTTTTTTTAATATTGTTTAAAGTATCGATATTACATGTAGTAGTACATATATCTTCTTTTTCCCCCCATCCCCATTGACCTTTCCCCAGCCTCTCCCACCCTCTGTTGCATGCCCTCATCTCACTCCCCCAGTGCATTCTGTCCATAGGTTGTGCTTATATGCATTCATACAAGTCCCTGGGTTGATCTCTTCCCTGCTCCACCCCCCAACATTCCCCAACCTTCTCTGTTTGGTGCTTTATTGCCTCTATCTTTTCATCAGGTTATAATGTTATTTATTTTCCATAAATAAGTGAGATCATGTGGTATTTTTCTTTTCATTGCCTGGCTTATTTCACTTAGCTTAATGCTCTCCAGGTCCATCCATGCTACTGCAAATGGTAAAAGTTCCTTCTTTTTAATAGCAGCGTAGTATTCCATTGTGTAGATGTACCATCGTTTTCTAATCCACTCATCTGCTGATGGACATTTTAGGCTGTTTCCAAATCTTAGCTATGGTGAATTGTGCTGATATGAGAATAGGGTGCATATATCCTTTCTGATTGGTGTTGCTAGTTTCTTGGGATATATTCCTGGGTCAGATGGGCATTCCATTTTTAGTTTTTGGGGTAACTCCATACTGTTTTCCACAGTGACTGCACCAGTCTGCATTCCCACCAGCAGTGCACAAGGGTTCCTTTTCTCCGAATTCTTGCCAGCACATATCCTTTGTTGATGATAGCCATTCTGACAGGTGTGAGATGGTACTATATATATATATATTTTAAAATCAATCTTTATTGTTCATATTATTACAAGGTTCCTCATTTCTTCCCCCCTCCACCAGGTTCCCACCCCACCCTCCGCCCCCTCCCCACCCCCCATTGTCCTCATCCATAGGTGCACAGTTTATGCTCAGTTTCTTCCTCCCTCCACCACTCTCCCCTCCCCCCCCAGAACAGTCAGTCCACTCCCCTCTATCTCTGACTCTACTACAGTGAACAGCTATTATTGTTCATGAGGTTTTTCAATCTCCTTTTTTGTTGTTGTTGTTGTTTTTTTAATTAATAAACTTTTACACTTCTAAGAATAAATTTTAAAATCTAATAATTTTAAACCTTGTTTTTTTTCTGCCCTGGGAGTTGAGAAGCAAACTTGTTTACATGTAAACTTGCCTTTAGGCTATCAAAAGGTGTAGCCATTCAAGTGTAAATGGACACATTGTTTAAAGATAGGTGCTGGTTGGAATTGGATTACCTGTTCTGGGTGGGAAGGGCTTGTCTTCCCCTTTCTCCATTAAAATTAAGGTGTTAGCTTTGAAACCTCTTTTTGGCAAGAGACCTTAAACTTTCAGAACTTTAAATTTTTCAGATAGTAAGTCAGTTACTTAGCATTTTCTCAAATCAATAATACCTCCACATGCGCAAGGATACACTTCACACAAAAGACACTTCCAAATAGGTCAACCAACCTCATCCAGACCTCACACAAGGCACTCACAAATCAACACCCCAGCACTATATAACTCAACACATCCAGATCTAAGCCTTCATCACTTGAATCAGCAGACCCTCAAGTTCCCCCAAAAGTTTCCAGCCATGTCTGAGAGGCAGCCTTGGGGCGGGAGCAGGCAAGGAGCGAGCTGTTCCGGGCCTGGCTGTTCTGGGCCTGGCCTCTGTTGCTCTGGTCCGTTCCACAACCAGCTGCTCCGGATCTGGCCATTGCCGCTCCCGGCCTGGCAGCTGCTGCTCCAGGCCTGGCTGCACCCAACCCGGCTGCTCTGGGCCTGGCTGCTCCGGGTCCGGCCGCTTCGGGCCTGGCCGCACCCGGCATGGCTGCTGCTGCTCCGGGTCTGGCCACACCCAACCTGGCTGCTCTGGACCCGGCCGCTCCCGGCCTGGCAGCTGCTGCTCCGGGCCTGGCCGCACCCGACCCGGCCGCACCCGACCCGGCCGCTCTAGGCCCGGCTGCTCCGGGCCTGGCCGCTCCTGGCCTGGCAGCTGCTGCTCCGGGCCTGGCTGCTCCCGACCTGGCTGCTCCGGGTTCGGTTGCTGCTGCTCTGGGCCTGGCTGCTCTGGACCCGGCTGCTTCTGGCCCGGCTGCTCCGGGCCTGGCAGCTCCCGACCTGGCTGCTCTGGGCTTGGTTGCTGCTGCTCTGGGCCTGGCTGCTCCCGACCCGGCTGCTCTGGACCCGGCTGCTCTGGCCCGGCCGCTCCGGGCCTGGCTGCTCCCAGCCTGGCAGCTGCTGCTCTGGGCCTGGCTGCACCTGACCCGGCTGCTCTGGGCCCGGCCACTCCGGGCCTGGCCGCTCTGGGCCTGGCAGCTCCCGACCTGGCTGCTTTGGGCTTGGTTGCTGCTGCTCTGGGGCCTGGCTGTTGCTGCTCCAGGCCTGGCTGCCACTGCCTTGTGCCTGGCCATTCTAGGCCTGGCCGCCGCCATTCCAACATTCTGTCCTTTTATTTTTAAACGCATTTATGTTGCAATGTTGGCTGCTGAGTTGAGTTCTGACTTAGTCTTCGATTTTTCAAGATCTTTGTATTCTTTCTTAATTAATTTTACTATCTTTTGCTCTCACTTGATTTCTTCACATTGAAAATTTATTTCGGTTTCTTCCTCCTTGTCCTGGAAGCTCAGCAGGTTGGCCTGTGGCACCCCTTTGTTCTCTGCGGGCTCCTGTGCGGCTTCAGCCTGTTGCTGGGGTTGGCGCCGCCCAGGAAGCAGCCCCTGGCCTCGGCTCTGTGGCCCGCGCTCAGCGGTCGAAGGCCCAGGGGCACCTCCCCCCCCCTGGGGGCCCGGTCGCTCGGCTCCTTGCTGGTGCCCGGCTGGCCGGTGTCCGGCAGGGGCTCCTGCTCCTCGTCGCGTTCCTCCCAGTCTGGAGCTTTTTTTCTCGTTCCTACTAGGGAGTCTAGCATCAGAGTCAACAGACTGTCCTCTGCGTGCAATGTGTGCGAGTCTGGGGGCTCCGCTTTTCACTGCTCCCCTGGGATTCCGCCTCACAGTCCCGTCTCGCCCTGCCTGAGCCTGGGTCCCCAGGGTCTGGCCTAGAACTGGGGTTCAGAGCAGTCGAAACAGGGGCCCAGCACGGCTGGGGCTCCTGTTTCCTTCACGCCAGGGCAATCCAGCATCAGAGTCAACATTCCTTCCCTTGCGCGCAATGTGCGTGACTCCAGGGGCTCGGCCTTTCGCCGCTCCCCTAGGACTCCACCTCATAGCCCCATCTCCCTCTGCTTGAGCTTGGGTCCCCAGGGATTGGCCTAGAACTGGGGTTCAGAGCAGTCGGGAGTGGGGCTCAGCACTTCCGGAGGTTTTGTTTCTTCCCGCCATGGCAATCCAGCATCAGGGTCAACATTCCGTCCTCTGCGTGCAATGTGCGCAACTTCGGGGCCTCCGCTTTTCGCCGCTCCCCTAGAATTCCGCCTCACAGCCCCGTCTCCCCCTGCCCGAGCCTGGGTCTGGCCCATAACTGGGGTTCAGCGCTGCCGGTTCTGGGGTTCAGCCCAGTCTGGGGCTTTTATTTCCTTCCTGCTAGGGAACGCCAGGCAGGCACCCAGCCTTCTCCTCCTCTCTGGCTGAGTCCTCTCTGCGCGTGTGTGCGTGCATGCGTGCAGCATGTCTCCGTACCTTAGGCTTTTTCAGCTCCTCTGATTTTCCTTCTGGTTTTCTCTTTCCTTCTTGTAGAATTTTCAGTCAGTCGACTACCTGTAGCTCTGGGCAATGTCCACTCTACATTTTAGTTGTATTCCATTGAAATTGTTGTGTGCTGCTGTGGTTAGGTGTCTACCTGAGCAGCCATCTTGGATCCTCCTAAATGAGTAAATTCTTGATACTGTAGGATTCACAGTTTGTCTGGTTTGTGTTGACAACTACCATACTACCGTACCGTATACAGGTAATAAATTTCTTTTATTTTCATTTAACAATAAATGTGTACCATATTCTTCGTGGAAAAATAAGACATCTCCTGAAAATAAGACCTAGCACATCTTTGGGAGCAAAAATTAATATAAGACACTCTCTTATTTTCGGGGAGAGAGGGTAGCTATCCTTTAATTGATTACAGTATTAGAAATACCTTGACATTTCATTCATAGTTTGCTGTGACATTACTTGGTCATAGAGGCTCGGTGCATGAAGTTCATGCATGGGGGATGGGGAGAAGGGTCCCTCAGCCCAGTCTGCACCCTCTTCCAATCTGGGACTGCTGGCTCCTAACCACTTGCCTGCCAGCCTGCCTGCTCACCCCTAACAACTCGTCTGCCTCCCTCATCACCCTTAACTACTTGCCTGCCTGATCATTTTTAACCGCCTTTTCCTGCCTGCCTGATCACCCCTAATCACTTGCCTGGCTGCCTGATTGCCCCTAATCACTTGCCTGCCTGCCTGATCGCCCCTAACCATCTCTGCCTTGGCCCCTGCTGCTGTGGCTTTGTCTGGAAAGACATCTGGAAGCATGTCCGGAAAGTCATTTGACTCTCTGGTATAATTAGCATATTATGCTTTTATTATTATAGATTCATTTGGCAGCAACTCATCATTTATATATGAAGATTGCCACCTTTTTCATTAGCTTTCTATATTTAAAGTAACTTTTTTCATCAATCAGTGATGGCAAGTACAAAAGAGCATGTGACAGTCTCTCAGAATATATTTGTTAATATTTCAAATTATAATTAAAGTAACATGTAAAAAAGTTACTACAGACTTTGTACAAGTTTTTGATCTGAAGTGTGAACAATACATATTTGGAGGACCCACAATGTAAACTGGGAAGTAGGGCAGTCATGCTCTAGAATGGAAGGAAGATGTTTCTTACAATGGCTGATGTCAGCACTGTAGAATGTGGCTGAGTATGAAGGCAATGTAGTATGACAGAGTAAAGTACCATTCAATTTGAATATTAGCTGAAATGTTAGTGTTCTTCCAGGAAAATAGAGTTACATGTTCTCAGTGCAGAATATCTGATTGCAGTGTTAAGGAAATTATGTTACGTTTTATTCTTTTGGAATTTTTACCCCTTGTATTCTCAGATTTCCTGAGAATCTCTTTCTTAATACAATGCTCTCTGATACTTTACTTGTTTTGGAAGTTAAAGCTAACTAATATATTTTGTTTTTAGTTTTGTGACATCTTTTAACATAATTTGAGATATCTTGATATATCAGACATTTAGATGGGAACATTATAAACATTTTGACCTAAATGAACATTTTGATTCTGTAAAATACTCCTGTGATACTTTTTAAAAAATATATATATTTTATTGATTTTATATAGAGAGGAAGGGAGAGAGATAGAGAGTTAGAAACATCGATGAGAGAGTCATCGATCAGCTGCCTCTTGCACACCCCCTACTGGGGATGTGCCCGCAACCAAGGTACATGCCCTTGACCAGAATCGAACCCGGGACCTTTCAGTCCCCAAACCGATGCTTTATCCATTGTGCCAAACCGGTTTCGGCTCCTGTGATACTTTTTTACAGTTGCTTCAAATATGTAGAAATATGGTAAAATAATTTAGTTAGGTTTATTTTATGTTGCGATTAAAGGTGGCAGTGTCAATGAGCCATGTTGGTTTTGAGTTGCTTTTAATGGGAAGAGAATAAGAAACACAAAATGGGACTGGTTTGAAGAAATTTGTATGTATTAGATGGTTTCTTTTTTGGAGTAATTATTTCCAATATTTGCTTTTTTTAGAAAATCATTTCCAGAAATCTACCAATCAGATTCTGAAGGATGGGAAACTTCAAAAGATCTAAGAAGTAATCTTGGAAATTTAGAATCAGAACTTCTATTTCTAAATACGCTTACTGGTATAAATATCAGAAAGTACTCCAAGAAGACAGAGAACTTAGTGAGCGCTGAGCTGACAGAAAGGCGTAAGTGTTAATTTTAATCTAGAAGTGGTGTTGAAGCTTTTCTTGTTATGCATAGGAATTGGGTGGGGTGTCGTTGAATTAATTTGAATGTGTGGTTGTGGTAAAGCTGTTTTGTAGGGTGTCTTGCATATGACAGTGTACATAATACTCTTACAAGCTGCCTGAGATAGATGTTAAAGGAAACAGGATGAAAGGATAAATATTTAAGCAGCTTAATAGTCAAGTAGCAGAGATAAGTGATTGTAAGAACACCACCACCACGCTGACCGGAAAGATGCTTCATCTAGTACTGTACTCCTAGTGAACATAGTCTTTGGCCAAGATAAAAGTAGCAGCTGGGCCGAAACCGGTTTGGCTCAGTGGATAGAGCGTCGGCCTGCGGACTGAAAGGTCCCGGGTTCGATGCCGGTCAAGGGCATGTACCGTGGTTGCGGGCACATCCCCAGTGGGGAGTGTGCAAGAGGCAGCTGATCGATGATTCTCTCTCATCGATGTTTCTGGCTCTCTATCCCTCTCTCTTCCTTTCTGTAAAATATCAATAAAATATATTTAAAAAAAAAAAAGTAGCAGTTGGACTGTTTACCCAAGAGAGTTTTTCTGGTCTCAATAAGTTTTATTGCCAAGGATCTGTGATGCACTAACGGGAAAGGGGAAGCTAATTCACCCGTGCAATTGGATGTCAGGACCTTTGAACAAAGTAGCATTCCCTAAAGAAAGAATCACTTTTGGAAATGCTTCCTGACTTCCATCAAAATAACCCTCAAGACTGGGAAGGAGGGAGGGTGACTCTCAAATAGCCTTGGGAAGATTGAGTTGCATGTAGAAGGGAGTGAGGGAATTTAGGCACTTCAGGTTCTTGGAACGAAGAGATGGAATGCAGAGGATGGAGAGTGATGTCAGATTGAGTTGCATGTAGAAGGGAGTGAGGGAATTTAGGCACTTCAGGTTCTTGGAACGAAGAGATGGAATGCAGAGGATGGAGAGTGATGTCAGGCCAGGTGTCAGACTTATTAGCACAAAAGTCTCAGTCTTCTTATTTTGAGCCCAAGTTCACCTCCATCTATTTTTTTTTAAACATATTTATTTAAATATGTTTTATTGATTTTTTTTACAGAGAGGAAGGGAGAGAGATAGAGAGCTAGAAACATTGATGAGAGAGAAACATCGACCAGCTGCCTCTTGCACACCCCCTACCGGGAATGTGCCCGCAGCCAATGTACATGCCCTTGACTGGAATCGAACCTGGGACCTTTCAGTCCACAGACCGACGTTCTACCACTGAGCCAAACCGGTTTCGGCTCACCTCCATCTATTGATGTACTTGATGCTGCTGATTCAGAATGTCTTTCCTGGTATTTTGTGCATAGATGGATTTGACTGTAAGGTTTCCCCATTGCTGGCTGAGGTTTTAGTTTTCCTAAATCTGCCACTTCAGTTCTTTTCCATGTGATATTAGCTCATCCATATGATTTTTAGGCTTTAAAATTAAGTTCCTCTCATCTCTTTCTCTTTCTCTCTGTAGAATTGTACCGTTCTAAAGATACCGTTATTAGCAAATCTAGATGTTGATAAATTTAGAATAGTGGTTATTTCTTGGGTGAGGGTAGAATATAGCCTGGGAAAGGGCATGAGGTAATTTCATGGGGTTCTTTAAAATTGACGTATCCTGACTCAGTGCTGGTTACATGGAAATTTATATTCTTTACCTTAATTTTTTGGTATAATTGAGAGTTAGGAAGTATAAGTTGATTTAATTCACAAAGGAAATCAATTTGGTGCAGATTATTCTAGATATTTTCAATGCAAATACTAACACATACTTCACACCACATAACTACATGGATATTTGAAGAAAATTGTTATTTGCAAATAAAATATTTGTTTTTCTGATTGATAGGTGTAAAGAAAGTTCTGCAAAGACACAAATTATCAGGAAATTGCCACATGATTACATTTCAAGTTGAATTTCAGATTCTGGAAGTCCAGGTAAATGAAAGATTATGTTGTGATAATAGAGATTCTATTGCCGTGAAATAAAACGCCCTCTCCCTTAGCCTCCAGCAGTGGCTGAACTGAAGAGCAATTCATGAACCAGGATCCCCTTGTTGCATAAATGTGCAAAGTGGTACCACTTCAAAAAAATTTTAAAGTATAAACACAGTACTGCAACAACTGCATGGGGAGGGCTGTTGCTGGGGGATCGGTACTTTATTGGAGGGCTCCCAGTGCAAACCCTGAGGTGCCGGGAGCAGTCCTGGGGTGCCTCCAGCAGTTTGTTGATATGCCAGCCATTTGTAAGCTTTTATCTATTTCTGCTTAACAAATTTCCCCAAAATTTAATGGCTTAAAGCAACAACAAAAGGAAAGCACAGCCGAAACTGGTTTGGCTCAGGGGATAGAGTGTCGGTCTGGAGACTGAGGGGTCCTAGGTTCGATTCCGGTCAAGGGCATCTACATTGGTTGCGGGCACATCCACAGTGGGGGTGTGTGCAGGAGGCAGCTGGTCGATATTTCTCTCTCTCTCATCAGAGAGCTAGATGTTTCTAGCTCTCTGTCCCTCTCCCTTCCTCTCTGTGAAAAATCAATAAAATATATTAAAAAAGAAAGAAAGAAAGCAAGAAAGCACATTTATCATATCACTCGTCTCTTGTGGGTCAGGAATTTGGGGGCAGCTCAGCTGGGTGTTCTTGCTTAGGGCTTCTCATGAAGTTATGGTCATCTGGGACCACAGCTACCCAAACATTGCTCCGGGCTGGAGGTTAGACTCCAAGGTAGTTCATGGCTATGCCAGTAAGTTGTACTGGACTGCTGAGACACAGCACAGGAGGAAGATACTTTTGACTAAGATTTTCACATAAAATTAGGAAGCAGACAGAATGGTAATGCACAACACATGGCAAGGGTGGAATGGAAGAATAAGGCTCTGTTTGACACCTTCAAAGGCTGGCTCTCAGAGAGAGGGATCCAGGCATTATTTTGTGAACTAACTGGGATGGGATTCATGCTTTGATAGCAAAAAGCTCTTTCAACCTGTTGGTTTTCTAGTGGGGCCTACCAAGAGAGTATGTATTATATAAGAGGACAGGAGCAAGGAGGGCAGGAAGGTTGCCTTGGCTTCAGCACATCAGATCATCAAAGTGGGTACAGACTAGTCTACACCAGGTCCTAAGTCCCATGGGCAGGATGCTTACTTGCATTTATGGCCATGTGCTAGGATTCCTCATCCTTGTTCTCAGCCTTAAAAAAACACACCAAGTTGTCCCTTTTTATATGGGACAGGGGTGGATATCTGTAATCAGGACCCTATGTTCCTCATTTTTCCCCCCTCTATCACTCCCCTCCACCAGGTTCCCACCCCACCCTCTGCCTTTACCCCACCCCCCATTGTCCTCATCCATAAGTGCACAGTTTATGTTCAGTCTCTTCCCGCACCCCCTACTCCCCTTTTCCCAAGAATCGTCAGTTCACTCCCCTTCCATACCTCTGATTCTATTATATCCAACAGTTAATATTGTTCATCAGATTTTTTAATTCCCTTGATTTTAGATTCACTTGTTGATAGTTATGTATTTGTTGATCATAATTTTTATCTTTATTTTCTTCCTCTTCCTAAAGAACCCCCTTCAGCAATGCATATAATTCTGGTTTGGCGGTGATGAACTCCTTTAGCTTTTTTTTTTATTAGTGAAGCTCTTTATCTTGCCTTGGATTCTGAGGGATAGTTTTGCTGGGTAGAGTATTTTTGGCTGTAGGTTCTTGCTATTCATCACCTTGAATATTTCTTGCCATTCCCGTCTGGCCTGCATGGTTTCAGTTGAGAAATCAGCTGACAATTGTATGGGTGCTCCTTTATAGGTAACTACCAGCTTTTCTCTTGCTGCTTTTATTTATTTATTTATTTTTTAAAATATATTTTATTGATTTTTCACAGAGAGAAGGAGAGAGGGATAGAGAGTTAGAAACATCGATGAGAGAGAATCATCGATTAGCTGCCTCTTGCACACCCCCTACTGGGGACGTGCCCGCAACCACGGTACATGCCCTTGATCGGAATCGAACCCGGGACCTTTCAGTCCGCAGGCCGACACTCTACCACTGAGCCAAATCGGTCCTAGGTTCTCTTGCTGCTTTTAATATTCTCTCTTTGTCTTTTGCTCTTGGAATTTTAATTATGATGTGTCTTGGTGTGGTCCTCTTTGGATTCCTTTTGTTTGGGGTTCTGTGCACTTCCTGGACTTGTAAGTCTAATTCTTTCACCAGGTGGGGGAAGTTTTCTGACACGATTTCTTTCAGTATGTTTTCAGTATCTTGCTCTCTCTCTTCTTCTGGGACCCCCATAATTCTGATGTTGGTTCGCTTGCAGTTAGGGGCAATCAGGCAGGCAGGTGAGCGATTGGGAACCAGTGATCCCAGATTGCGAGAGGAATATCTGACTGCCGGCAGTTGGACATCCGCCAAGGGATCTCTGATTAGAGAGGGTGCAAGCTGGGCTGAGGGAACCCCCATCCCCGGCCACGAATTTTGTGCACTGGGCCACTAGTATAATTATAAATTAAATGTATCTTTAGAAATACATTTCTAGTAGAATGCTATGTCAAAGGAGATGTACATATAAATTCTGATGGATAGTACCAAATTGCCTTCTAAAATGTTTTTACCTTTTTACATGTTAAGCACATTTTTAGAGTTGAGACTGACATAAATAAACAATGGTGAAGGCACAGCTACCTTCTCTTTACTAAAACATTTATTTTAAACAAAATTTCCACTAGATGGAGATGTTTAGCTATCAGAAAACTTAAATAATTTTTGTCCTATAGAATGTTGTTATAATAAAACTAGAGGCCCAATGCATGAATTTTGTGCAAAAGTAGGCCTTCCCTCCTCCGGCTGCTGGCACTGGCTTCCCTCTTGCCGAGGGAAAATTAAATTAAATTAGAATTTTAATTAAAATTCTGTATTACAAGGTTCCAAACGAAATGTACCTGATGACATTTGTGAATGAAAGAAAACACTGAAATCCAATATAGGCCACAATAAGAACAGACATAAATGTTGCAAAGTTAACAGGACCCTTTTTTGAATGTATATATCCACAATTCTTTGTATTTTTTAATTTTATATTTTAATCTTCACCTGAGGATGTTTCTCATTGATTTTTAGAGACAGAAGGAAAGAGGGGGAGAAACATTTATGTAAGAGAGACACATCAGTTGGTTACTTCCCGCACACACCTTGACCAGGACCTGGGATGGATCCTTCAACTGAGATACTTGCCCTTGACCTAACCCAGGACTCTTCAGTCTGTGGGCTGACGCTCTATTCACCGAGCCAAACCAGTTAGGGTCCTTTTTTTTTTTTTTAAACCCTCACTGGAGAATATGTTCATTGATTTGAAAGTGAGAGGAAAGGAGAGAAAGAGAGAAACATCAATGTGAGTGAAACATTGACTGGTTGTCTCTCGTACGTGCCCTGATCAGGGATTGAACCCGAAAGCTAGGAATGTGCCCCAACTAGGAATCCATGCTAAAATCAACTGAGCAACTGGCCAGGGCATACTCACAATTCTCAGGTTGTAGGGTAGAATGAGAACTTGTGACGAAGTTAAATGCACCTTGGTAGAAGTGAATGTGCTGCTGAGACTCAGACATTGTGTTTGAAGTAGCTTATCAGCTGCTACCTTTCCTTGTTTACCAATAGGGGAGGATGTCCCAGTTAGCTGTAGGACAGACAGAGAGAGATAGGAAAAGAGTATCTTGAAGTCAGCTTTTTAGTGGCTGAACAGAATCGAGAACTTCTCCCCCTGCACCCTCGCCACCAAAAAATAAATAAATAAATAAATAAATAAATAAACAAATAAATAAAAATAAAAATCTAGGGGCCAGTAAATCCTACGCTTTCTGCTCTCAGGATTTGTCTTTCCTAATGTGTGAAAGCCCAAATCTACACACCCACACACACTCCAACAACAGATATGTGCATCCCTGGGATTTCTTTTTTCGTTTGTGTAACAGATCCTTTGAGATATAATACATATGCTATATAATTCATCCATTTATAGAATACATTCTATAGTTTCTAGCATGTTCACAAAATTGTATAACAATCAGTACATCAATTTTAGGAAATTATAACCTGAAAAAGAAACTCGGTACTTCTTAACACCCCTCAATTCCTATTCTTCTTCCTAGACCTAAGCATCAACTAATTTGCTTTCTATCTTTATGGAACTGCTTATCCAGATATTATAAATGGAATAATAGGTGGTCTTATTTGATTGGCTTCTTTAACTTAACCTAATGTTTTCAAGGTTTATTCATGTAGTAGCATGTATCCTTACTTCATTCTGTTTTTGGATGAATAATATTCCAGTGTGAGGATATTTGAAGATATCTCATATTTTGTTTACTCATTTATCAATTGATGGATATTTGAGTTTCTCTCACCTTTTGGCTGTTATGAATAATGTTGCTGTAAACATTTATGTACAAATTTTTAGGTAGACATATTTTCAGTTTTCTTGGATATACACTGAGTGGCCAGATTATTATGATCTCTGAATGCATAATAACCTGGTCACTCATTGTATATCCATATAATAAAAGGCTAATATACAAGTTTTCCCTTCAACCAGGAATTTGACCAGCAGTCAAGCCGGCCAACCGCCCATGGCTCCTCCCCCTGGCTAGGCTGGCTGGACCTCACCCATGCATTAATTCATGCACCGGGCCTCTAGCATACACACACACACACACACACACACACACACACACACACACACTGAGTGGCCAGATTATTATATTTCTTTTAAAAAATATATATTTTATTGGTTTTTCACAGAGAAGAAGGGAGAGGGATAGAGAGCTAGAAACATCGATGAGAGAGAAACATCGACCAGCTGCCTCCTGAACACCCCACCACTGAGGTGCCTGCAACCAAGGTACATGCCCTTGACCAGAATCGAACCTGGGACCGGTTTTGGCTTAATTTACACTTATTTTAGTAGTAGTGAGAGTGAATGTGGTTCTTCATGTGAATTGTCTTTTACCTTCTAGTTTTTAGTTAATGTGTTTTGCATTTTTCTTTTTGGTTTTCCTATCTGTTGTGTTTATGATAAAAGTTTTCTTCAATTTGTTGCTTTTCTTTTAGAAAATTATTTTTATATGCCAAAGCCAGTTCGGCTCAGTGGATAGAGCACGGGCCTGCGGACTGAAAGGTCCCAGATTCGATTCCGGTCGGGGGCATGTACCTTGGTTGCGGGCACATCTCCAGTAGGGGGTTGTGCAGGAGACAGCTGATCAGTGATTCTATCTCATCGATATTTCTAGCTCTCTATCCCTCTCTTTTTCTCTCTGTTAAAAATAAATAAAAAATATTTTTTAAAAAAGAATTATTTTTATATAGGTATTTTGAATATTTTACCTAATTTATTTACTTTTTTCCATTAGCATTTTGTGGATAGGTCTTCCTTGCTGGGTAACCAGCTAAATAAATACTTTCTCCTAGTATTTTATGTTTTAGATTTAAGTAAGTAATTCATTTATAGTTCATTTTTTTTTTTTTATATGTAGCACAGATCTGAGTCTTATTCTTTTTACAAGTATGGAATATTTTCACAAACTTCTGTAGATTACCTTTTCCTATTAGGTGGCAACCTTACATTTGTCATAAATTTTTAAATTATTTTTGTCTTTTTATTTTATTTAAAAGTTGACTGTGTTCTGATATATTAACTTTTCTTAAATTTTAGAACAAGGACAATTTATCTTCCGTTATTACTGACCTCAACATAATAATGGAGTCCACTGCATATTCAGAATTAAGTGAATTTGTATCTAGGTAAGATAATTTACAAATTTTTTTTTTTAGGGACTGTTTTCACTGTATAGTTTTGAGTTTACATTTTCTCCCTTCTTGATAAATAAATATCAAAATATATCTGAAATTATGATACCATTTTTATGGGTTATATTTAAACCTATATTCTTTATATTTATTATTCTTTTATTCAATAAAATTTTATTATGCATTTACTCTGTGCTAGGCATGAAAATTAAATTCTGAGCAAAACTAGATGTAAGCCTTATTCCTCATGGAATTTGTAGCCTAGTGGAAAAGTCTAGTATTAAGTAGTCACAGAAATAAATCTAAAATTGTATCCCTGCTAAATGTTATAAAGAAGAGTTGCATAGTGCTGTATCATGAATTTAACTTCCAGGGAGAACATGGCATGATTTTATGAAACTTGAGCTGACATCTGAAAACTGAATAGGCATAAACAGAATAGCTTGTGTATAGGCACTGTATTAGGGGGGACCATGGCATCTGTGAGCAGCTGGCAGGAGGCCCAAGTGATTAAAGAAGGGAAGGCAAGGGATTGTGGTATAAGGTGAAGCTTTTGAAGTAATGGAGTTAGTGTAGGGAGTTTGATCACAAGTCCCACCCAATGTGAAGCTTTTTTTTTTTTATAAAAAATCTTTATTGTTCATATTATTACAGATGTTCCTCTCCCCCTTCCATTGCTCCCCTCCACCAGGTTCCCACCCCACCTTCTGCCCTTTCCCCACCCCTCATTGTTCTCATCCATAGGTGCACAGTTTATGTTCAGTCTCTTCCCACACCCCCCTCTCCCTCTTTCCCCCCCGAGAATCGTCAGTTCACTCCCCTTCCATACCTCTGATTCTATTATATTCACCAGTTAATATTGTTCATCAGGTATTTTTTAAAATTTTTTTGGTTTTTAGATTAACTTGTTGATAGTTACGTATTTGTTGTTCATAATTTTTATCTTTATCTTCTTCCTCTTCCTAAATAACCCCCTTCAGCAATTCATATAATTCTGGTTTGGTGGTGATGAACTCGTTTAGCTTTTTTTTTTATTGGTGAAGCTCTTTATCTGGCCTTGGATTCTGAGTGATAGCTTTGTTGGATAGAGTATTTTTGGCTGTAGGTTCTTGTTATTCATCACCTTGAATATTTCTTGCCATTCCCGTCTGGCCTGCATGGTTTCTGTTGAGAAATCAGCTGACAATCGTATAGGTGCTTCTTTATAGGTAACTACCTGCTTTTCTCTTGCTGCTTTTTTTATTCTCTCTTTGTCTTTTGCTCTTGGAATTTTAATTATGATGTGTCTTGGTGTGATCTTCTTTGGATTCCTTTTGTTTGGGGTTCTGTGTGCTTCCTGGACTAGTAAATGTAATTCTTTCACCAGGTGGGGGAAGTTTTCTGTCACTATTTCTTCCAGTAGGTTTTCAGTATCTTGCTCTCTCTCATCTTCTGGGACCCCCATAATTCTGATGTTGGTTCACTTGAAGTTGTCCCAGAGGTTTCTTACATTATCTTCAACTTTCTGGATTCTCTTGCCTTCTTGCTTCTACGCAGGAGTGTCTTCTGGCTCTTTATGTTCCAAATCTTTGACTTGATTCTTGCAATCTTCTATTCTGTTTTTAGGACTCTGTATAATATTTTTTATTTCAGACAATGTATTCTTTATTTCTTATTGATTCCTTATTATTTCTTGTTGATCCCTTATTATTTCTAGTTGATCCCTTTTCATATCCTCATAGGTCTCCTTTATTTTATCGGCCTTTTCTAGGAGATTTTTGAACAACCTTATAAAAGTGTGGTTTTGAACTCTATATCCAGTCGCTTTTTGTCCTCCATTTCTTTCATTTTCTTATCTCAGCATTTTCTCAGCTTCCCTGAGTTGGTAGCCTTAAAAGTCTCCATGTTTTGCCTGGATGGGGCGGAGTTTCAGAGTGGAGCCTACAGCCTTGCTTGTGTCAGCCATGCCCTATGCGGCTCCTGAGTCTTGGTGTTTCTCAGGATCCTTCAGTACTTGCTGCAAGCACCTCTGAGAGCGAGGTGCCCTCGAGTTTTGCCTGCTACCAGTCTAGTCCCTCCTCCAATGAGCCCGGATCTGGGATTCAGTTCAGTTGGAAGTGGGATTGGAAGTGGGGTTCAGAGCAGTCTGGAGCTTTTGTCTCCTTCCCGCCAGGGCAATCCCGCGGCACAGCCAATTGTCCCTTCTCTGCGCGCAATGTGCTCGCCTCCGGGGGCTCTGACTTTTGCTGCTCCCCCTGGCTTTCCGCCTTACAGCCCAGTCTCCCTCTGTATGAGCCTGGGTCCCTGGGGTCTGGCCTAGAACTGGAGTTCAGAGCAGTCGGAACTGGGGCTCAGCACAGTCCAGAGCTTTTGTCTCCTTCCCGTTAGGGCAATCTAGCAGCAGAGTCAACAGTCCGTCCTCTGCGCGCAATGTGCACGCCTCTGGGGGCTCTGCCTTTTGCCGCTCCCCTGATATTAAGCCTCACAGCCCAGGCTCCCTTTGTTTGAGCCTGGTTCCCCAAGGTCTGGCCTAGAACTGGGGTTCAGTTCTAGGCCAGACCTTTTGGGTCTGGGGTCCAGCACAGTCCGGAGCTTTTATCTCCTTCCCGCTAGGGAATGCCAGCCAGGCACTCAGCCGTCCCCTCCTCTCCAGCTCCGTTCTCTCCGTGCACCCACGTATCTCCGTACCTTAGGCTTTTACAGCTCCTCCACTCTTCCTTCTGGTTTTCTCCTTGCTTCTTGTTGTAGAATTTCCAGTCAGTCGACTTTCCTATAGTTCTGGGTAATGTCCATTTTATATTTTAGTTGTATTTTATTGAAATTGTTGTTTGCGGCTGCGGTTAGGTGTTTACCTGTGCCGTCATCTTGGATCCTCCTCCCAATGTGAAGCTTTAAAAAAAAAAAAAAATAATAATATATATATATATATATATATTATTGATTTCAGAAGAAAGGAGAGAGAGAGAGATAAATATCAATGATGAGAGAGAATCATTGACCAGCTATCTCCTGCACACTTCCCACTAGGGATAGGCCCACAAACTGGGCATGTGTCCCTGACTGGAATTGAACCTGGGACCCTTCATTTAGCTCAATCCACTGAGCCAAACCAGCCAGGACAATGTGAAGCCTTTGAAAGGTTTTAAGCAGAGCTTAAGGAAGGCACAAGTGCGACACCCTTTCTATAAAGAATTACTAGAGGCCCAGTGTGCACGAGATCATGCGCAGATAGCTCACTTCCACTTGCTTCAGCTGGCCGTCCTGCCCATTGCCGCTCATAGCACGCAGTCCTCTGCTGCTTGTAGCTGGCTGCCGCTGCTCGTAGCTCTCCGCCTTGCCCTCCACTGCTCATAGCTCTCTGCTGCTTGTATCTCACGCCCGGCCCTGCTGCTGCAATAGCCACCGTTCGTTTGGTCGTGTTGGCATTATGGCGTTAGGGCCACTGGCTTTTTATATACGTAGACTAGAGGCCCGTTGCAGGGGCCCCACCTGCTTCCCTCCCTTCTCTCCCGCCCTGCCTGCTTTTCTCCATTCTCCCTGCCCCACTTGCTTGCTTCTCTGCAGCTTCGCGTGTGGCTTTCTTCTATGGTATCTTCAGTCTTTGCTATGGCGGCATATGCAAATTAAGCACCATCTTGGTTGGGTTAATTTGCATATGCACCCTGATTGGTTAATGGGCATGGCTTGTGGGTATAGCGAATGTACGGTTAATTTTCATGTTTCTCTTTTAGTAGAGAGGATTATTCTGGGTGCTGCAGGGAGAATGGATTGAAGGAGTGCAATAGTAGATGCAGGAGGGTAAATGACTGTCCAGTGAGACGCTCATGCAACAGAGGTTTGTAGTTTGGACTAGAATGATGGTACTGAGGTAGAGAGATGGATATTTGTTTTTTCCATTTGTTGCTGGCAAAATGGATGATTAGCACAAATTTAAAACAAAGAAGCCATGAAGAATGGTGATTTTGCTAAAGGTGTGAAAGTGTTCATGAAACAATGATAACAGGCTATTGAAGAGGTAGAACAATTGTTGATTTGGATAATGGAAAACAAGTTAGCCTGTGACAGCATTTCAGCAGCAATGAGATGCGAGAAAGTGAAGTTGCTGGATGCTGACCTAAAAGAACCCTGGACCCAATACTGGAAGGGGTTTGTTCTGTTGGTGGCTGCAGTGGCTCCAGGGAGCAAACCAAACCTGGGTTCAGCAACCTCAGTACTTGGGTTCCAGCTAGGAAAGAATTCAGAGCTAAGACACAACTGTAAGAGAGCATTTATTTGGTTAATCACAGGAGTAGAAGTAATTCCTAGAAGAAATGGGCTTGGAAACAAGTTACAGAGGCAAAGGAAGGGCCCTTGGAGCTTGGAGTGGGAAGCCAATGGTAACATGCCTGGGCTGGCTGGGAGGGGGGAAGGGGAAGATGGGTATGCCACAGAGAGGGGCCGCTTCATGACGGTTTTGAGGGTGGAGATTTTAGGGAATTTCCAGGGGAAGATCTTAATAGAATATTAGGTGGCATTGCAAGTGTGTCCTTTCAGGGCTGTGGACTCCACTAACTGGTTGGTGGGCAGCCCCTGGGCCAGTGGTCATGAGTCAGTGCAGCTGGTCCTGAGGCCAGCCATGGGGTCACTGGTCGGGTTTTCTGCTTTTTTGGACCTGGAGCTGAAATACAACTGAGGCCTGGATGTTATGTTTGGGGAGGAAAGGTCAGGGGGTCCAAACCTCATCACCAGCGATACCCTAACTGACCCATCTTCCTTGCTCTGCACACGTCTGTCTAACAGCCTGCCACAATTTAAGGCCAGAGGTTTTGCCTATGTCCCTCTTCCCGAAGTAGTGAATCTTTGTCTTGGTAGCAGCACTTGACTGCCCCTCTCCCATAGTCACATGGATTTGACTTCTGTCCTTCCTCAGAAGTAAGGGGCTTTCCCCCCTTGCTTACTCCCTTTTTCTCAATGGGCTAGGGTTTTTGCTTCCCACTCTAGAGGAGTTCTGTAGAAGAGTCTGGCTTCATCTTGTG